AAAATAATATAATAACGTTCACTAAAGTCATATTAAATTTTGTCTTCATAAAATCATATTTTGCGTCTTACAATAAAACGTGAGCCATGGTTTGGCCGCCCTTTTATTATAATATTTATTTCGTATGAATGAACAGACACAGATTAAATTAAATGCCATAAATACCTATAGCAAACAAATTAAATTAAGAATGAAGCCTATTATAATGTGAACTAACCTCAGTTTTATAATCATTGAAAGGCGTGTTGTATAGGCAATTTAGGTACATAGCTGTTGATTTTAATTTTAAAGTTAGTATTGTAATAACTTTGAACCAAAATTCAATTAACCGACTGGATATGAATAGTTTCTAATTTATACTTTCATTTTTAAAATATTTTGCCAAGAGCTGAACTAATTCATGTTTAAAAATCCATAACTTTGGTATGATACGAATATAATTTGTAGTAGGTAAGCAAGTAAACTGATTGGTAATTTTTTATTTATGTGAATCGAGTTAAGTGGTACAACAGTGTTTTAATTTATCCATCTATTATACCATAGGTTGTAATTAAATAAATAAATTGAAAAAATCAATAATAAGGCGTATTGGAACAAAAAAAAAACCCCTGTTGTTCGAAAAGTCTTTTACCGGGTAATTTATTTAACACGCGACGAAATACATGCTAATATTATATTAATTTTACTATTCTTTTTTTTATTTATCTTCACTTCTGCGTATTTATAATATGATAGATTTTAACCCAGTTCAAAATACCAATGCAATATAGCCTTGTCAGGTTCATTAATATTAAATCATAAAATTTAAACATTTTAAACTACAAAGTATTATATGTATATATATACATATTATTTAGGTTTGTTCGTGGCGTCCATTGTAAATAGGAATTATTACTATCGTATTGCGATTCATCACGAAACGATAGATTTGACATAATATTATACACTTCTCATTCAAAAAATTAATAATATTTTTTTCATACAATTTTAAGTCTTTATAAAAACATAATTTTTTGTCTGTACATATAATTATGACGATCTGTCGTATTATTTACAGGACCATAACGGCGCACGAGGAGGCTATTTCTATGATATGTTGTTCTACAGACTCGAGAATAATGTTGACAGGTGATACAACAGGTGTGGCCAAAGTGTGGCCAGTCGCTGAGCTGACCGATACTTACGGAAAAACTACGCCTCTTTATGTGTTGTTTGACTGTCATGATATGGGCGTGAATTCCGCCGACATATCAACTATCACCTCAATAACAAGTGAGTGACTTGTCGTTATAGGTTATATACTTATATATATATGAAGTTGAAAAAAAATATGAGCATCGAAATGGATTGATTTTTTGAATATAAGATTTAGCTTATTTTTCACTATATCCTGTAAAAAGGTGGGACGTACCACATTTTATTATTTTAATATACCGTGTGTCCGCGAAAATGGGTACACTCTATAACTCAGTTACCTACATTACTCAACACCCTATACATATTTTAGAATTCTGTCAGCGGGAGATTGATGATCCAATAATTTAGTTACCTACATGTCCCGTTCTTGTGGACACACGGTATACGTTTATTTAATGCACATTACACTGCAGTATGTTAGTACTTAGTATGCACCTATTTAAAACTGAAATACGTTAAACTTAAAATAATATTATTTTATAAAATATAGGTATTTGTTAATATGGTCTAGCTGTTTATTTTTGCAGTATTCGAATGTGTTATTAAAAATTATGAATTACCCTACATGCTTTAATTTAAAAATTACTTATCCAGAGTATGCCAATTTTAAATTATTTACTCGTTTTACAGCTAAATTTAATTAATTTCCAGATAATTTATTGTGATTTTTTATATTATCAACTGTTAATGTAAATATTTATAAAAAAAAAAAGGTGGGTAAGTGGATGTCGCTCTGCTGTACAGTAGGTTACAAGTGGGTCACTGTATAATGGATGCTATTAAATTTGAATTCAATGATACAATATCATTGTATAAGAAAAACGATTCTGAGCAAAGACGGTATGTCAGTACAAATTATATACATATCTATGGTATTAAAAAAAATTGACCTATAATAAATTCCAAATTAATCATATCATATCACATTATCACAATATCCAATAGGTACTTATAACACGTTATACATCAACATCAATAACAAACCCTGATACTATCATAGATAAATAATAGTACACTTTAGAAGTTTCAAGTAGGTACCCACGAATAATATTATATAATCACAACAAAATAACTAGGTATTTTAATATGTAATTTCGTTAAAATTTTAACATAAAATAACTATAAAAATAAACTGTGATTGTATATTTTTTAGATTTTACTTTAAGAGAATTAACTACTTATGTGGAATCTTGTTTTTAATTTTCAAGAGAGAACAGGTTTAGGTGGCTCCGTGACTGTATGATAAAATATAGTGAGAGTGGCTATAGAAGTTAGAGTCTGAAGAAAAGATGGATAGACAGAATACCGATCATATGGAGGTGTGGGATGAGAGTGGTTGAACCTGAACAGTTGTGAGAGAAGGGGGAAGAAAAAGGGTGAAGGTAGAATAGTTATGTTAACAATGCCGAATACGTAGTAAAGGATCTTGAATTGCAAAGGTCACTTGACTCTTTGGCTGAAACTACCGTTATCAGTTGATATAGGTTTACAACCTTGACTTATGGGATAGAATAAAAAAGATCGGTTGCCGGTTGGGATGTCAGCGCCATAGATATATACAACAACTAGATAGCCGTCTCCTTTTTGTCATCGAAGTCGACCCCCCCATTTACAAAGCAGGCAATGTTTACAAAATAATATTATCATAGTATAATATATGTATATAAATAAATGTAAACATTGCCTGCTTTATAAATGGCGGCCGATTTCAACATTGGTCACAACTGTAATATAAAGACGGCTATCTAGTTGTTGTATATATCTATGGCGATAACATCCCAACCGGGAATTCGGGATAGGGGGGGGGGGGCAAAAGGAGCAGTTGCTCCAAGCGGCAGGGACGGCCAAATAATTGGCAGGAATACGATTGAGAACGGTCATTATTGGCGATACCTTTCTTAGACCCTTTTGACTATTACGATTGAGAACGCTCAGTTTTTATTTTTCCGCCCAACGTTGCCAAACTTTGCCATATAATAATCGGCTATGGCTATAGCCTATATAAATATATATGACTCTTAGCACTGCTCACACACTATGTAGCAGGAATAAACGTCTTTAAAACTCAATACTATTCAACAGGGTACTGTTCAAAAGGCATCAAAAGCAGATGAAGAAAAAATTTCAAAAACAATACAGTTTTATATTAACTACTGTCAAAAAAAATCTTCTGAAGGATTAGTAAAATATTTAACACATATGGGAAATTTATATAGGGAAATTAAATTGTAAATTATTTTTAAATGTTTGTATTATTGGTACCTACCAATAATACAAATTTTTTTAAAAATTATGACATTTTTAAAATTTATAATTTTTAATTATTTTATTCAATGTTTTATTTCATTTTTATTTTGACTTGAATATAGTTCGGCAACGTTGCACTTAATTTCGTTCTCAATAGTACTGTTTTATTGGGTCAGCGGTTATTTCATTGTTCCATTTCGAGTGATCTCAATCGTACGCTAAAAAAGGTCGAACGTTCTCAATCGTATTACAGCCAAATAATTAAGAGTGGCAAAAAAATGTCGTTTGTAATATAATAAAAATAAAATATTTAGTAGAATAAATATTAATTTTTTTTTTACGAATTTGCGATGTCAATATTGTCAGAATATCTAAAATCGTAATGGAATCTTATATTAGAACTTATAGGTCTACTTATTTTAAGAGAACGCTGTTTGTGGACCTTGTTTTCGTAATAACCTAGTACCTGCGTACTAATTGAACTATTTTTAATATTATCATTGTTCATCACTACATAATATATTGACATGTTATAGCCGCCGGGGCACCGAACTGCCAGAATTATAAGATATTGCCACCTACCATTATATTGCAGTACTGACTACTGAGACTATGTAGCTTGTTATTCGATTATAATATCTATTATATTCCTATATATTTGTATCTTTACTATTTACTTGTACAAGAAATAACGAAGGTTTTGAACTTGGTAAATTTTTAGGAAAATGTTAGTGTTATATTATATTTAAAATTTTAGACATAGTACCTATACCGACTTCCTTAGTCGTTTATCATTACAATAATTCATAGATATAGGTATAGAATATAACATATAAGAGACATGAGTTTGAAATTAATAATGAAACGTAGACATATTGTGTATGTAATAATTTATTAATTTGTTTAAATTGTATCTGGTTCATGTGTTTAAATATATTGTAAAATACAATACCTGCCTAAGTGTAGCATGAGTATATAACTAATGAGTAGATAAGCATATAGTTTTTTTGTAAGTATATTGTATAATGTTTGTTAGAGCGTAGCGATAAATTTTTTTTTGGTTATTTAGTTGTAAAAAAAATGCGTATAGTGAATTATTTACGTCATATTTATGTTTGCTTCCCCATAAATTGTCCCTTGATACAGCCCTGTGACACTAACTCGTGTAAACAATTTGATGCACATATAACCGATCAACGAGTCTCTGACGTTTTTATTGATACATACCAATTCGCATAGATAAATATGAGACATTCCTCTTCTCACATCTATCAGAGTCAGAGACTTGTCATTAATATGTGCTCAAAATTATCGGGATGTGGACCCATTCATAGTATATGATTCAAAGTTGACACAATAAGACTGTGATATCACAACTTGGAAGTATGTATTATAATAAGTATGTATTTTAAGTATTAATGATTTAATACATATTTAATTAATGATTTATCAGCATGCATTCTCCCGTCTTGCAAGTAGGTATCAATTTCAGCGGATCTTAATTAAACTTTTAAATGTAATCTTTAATCTTTGTTAGTTTTAATATTAGAGTGATTAATATTTTTTAAAACTATTGATCCCTATAATGATAACTACTGAACGGGCTACTGAATGAAAAAGTTATATCTTTCACACTTGTAAGACACACTTGTAGGCAACACATGCAGATGAAAGATTTTTTTTAGCTTCATGTTTTTTAAAAATACTCGGATAATGTCGAGCTTTGGAGCGACTTTAGAACGTATTCAATTAATTTTATTTTGTACTTATTAGTTATTGAAACATGATATGGAGGGTAGCCCTTTTGGTCATCCAGTGTCCACAAATATTTCAATTCATAATATGAAATCCCATCCCTGTCCTGTCCCCTATACTCTGATTTTAAAAGCCCAGGCCACCTTCATATTCTCTATGCAAAAAGTAAATTTAAGAAATATTTGTAAATGAAGGCACAGTCTCTCTTTTGTATAAATATTTGTGATTTCATTAATGTTCAGTATTGTGTATAGTTAGATTGGGAAAACATAAGACAATACCATTTAGACAAGACTGTGACTAACACAATCATGCTTTTATAAAAGTTTATGATGTAGGTACCTTCTATTTTTTGATTTAATCTTCTTTTTTTCTGGTACTTTGGTGGACTTTTATGGACAGCGCTTGCACCATGGCCCCTCGATATAGTAATGAGGCGACCAGGCCCATCTCTTTTAGATAAATTATTAAATACCAACTCAATCAAGTCTTCCAATTTATACAATCATAATATAATATGAGTATAGTACATTTCGTAATTTTTTTTTTATAATTTTGTATTTCTAATGTAATATGTGTTGATGTTTATGGACAGCACTTGCACCATGGCCCCTCGATATAGTAATGAGGCGAGGCGACCAGGCCCATCTCTTTTAGATAAATTATTAAATAGGTACCTACTCAATCAAGTCTTCCAATTTTCATTTTACATTTATATTTTGTAGATAATTTGGGATAATTTGAAGAAAAATTTGAAATTAAAGAGAGACTGTGTGAAGTAACAAAATATATGGTGTGACTTGTATATTTGAACACGTCTTGTTATAATGTATTATATTAAAGTTTAGTTAATTTTTAATAATGTACTATAATAAACATTTGAACAATTATTATAATAAAAGTATTTTATAGAGAAACCTGGGTAAGACGAGGACTAGAGGTAGGATGGGACATCGTTGTATCTCAAAAACTATTGATTGTTGGGAAAATTTTTTTTTACAAAAAATCTGCTATGCTGGTCACACTTTAATAATATTATTTGATATCAACAAATAATTAAAGTGATACGGTGC